ATTTCAAAATATTGTTACAGTCTTAAATGTCTAGGCAAACTAAATTTTACATTCAAAAGAATTCCAAATATCTGACTAAAGTATAAACCTTTGGGAACTTCTTATATAAAGATGATGGACATACATAAAAATATATCTGGTTTGGCATGGTGATTCATGCCTGTGATTCCATAGCTTTGGGAGGTCAAGGTGAGAGGATCGCTTAAGGCCAGGAATTTTAGCCAGCCTGGGCAATATAACAAGACTCTGTCTTTACAAAAAAAATTTTAACAAATTTTTCTAATGTAAAAATTCAAGCCCTGTTGATGCACGTTCTCTAGAATCATTCCCCATTCCTAAAATATTATACACAATAATATCTACATTAGTATTTATGTCCAAAATATAGTATTATAATTTTGTTCCTTTTTAATCTGGTGTCAGTTTTCATGTGAACAGCTACTATGTTGTAACAGTTACAACAACTAGAAACAAACCTAATGTTCCATATTATCTTTGAATGTATTTTTGTTTTGTTTTGTTGTTTGGAGCATAGACAAATGTTTCATTAAATAAGATATGCTATGGTAAAATATATTTATTCGTTTTTCTGATAAAACAAATTCTTATGTTTTTGCCTTTATGGTTATATTCTATTTGGGTTATAATGGTTCTTCAATTTGTCATTAATTATTTCTGGATAAAAGACCAATGGCTTTATCCATTTGAAATGCACTCTTTAAATTCAGTGTTCCAGGAATACTGTTCTAAGACACTTTCTTTATTGATATAAAATCAAGAATGTTAATCAGTGAATAAATTGTCATATATAACTGCCCCGGACCATAACATTTCTTTTTTTAACAAATTATTCTGATATCATTGATATATAGAGTATGCTACAAATTTGAAACTAGGCTTTTTTCCCTTAAATATTTAACACAATTTGCAAACTATTAAAGATTTACAGTTGTTTTTTAAAGTTCGAGTTTAAACCTGATTTTAACATCATATAAAGCAGACTATTTTCTTCCTAACGTAGTGGTTTTTATTTATTCATGTACATAAGAAAGGCAGTTATTTGTCAAGAAAGTGTTAGACAAACACAAAACTCAAAATCCTCCAAGTGATCAGTGAAATTCTAATATACAGTCTTTCAACCCAGAATCTCACAAAGGACCATGGTAGACCATTGTGGAAAAAAAAGAATGATGAATTTGTGAATTCAGTGTCCACAGAAAAGACATTGAAATAAGTGGTTGAGGAAAGGTAATAAATGATTATCAGAAAAAATTAAAATAAAATAAAAATATAGATTCCCACAAACCATTTCTAAATGCATCCCAGGTACTGCTTTTTCTCTTTTACACAGATTGACCAAATACATTCTTAGCTCTCAATAGCTTTTATTGCATCTCAAAAATATCACTATTTCATACCTGACACTTTATAATTAGAAGTAAACTATTTTGATATTGAAATCATGTCTTGAAGAAAAGGTGACAAGATACTTTGATACTTTAGAATACAATGTAGCCTCATTAGTAATATAGTAACTATAGGGTGGAATGTGGATAGTTGATCTCTTTATTATATTTATTATTATTATTATTATCAGTTTTAATTTCAGAAAATAAACTTTCTTTGTTTTGGTGAGAGACCTGGTCAAAGATTTCATGTTATATGAGAAAGGATCAAGAAACAAAACAAAATAATATAGACAGAATTATCTTTTGACGGGCAGGCTTCTTGTAGTACAGGCTTACTCTGCTAGGTAGGTAAGTGTTCTTGGAATCCATCGCCATCAATGTTCCAGCTAGTGTGTTGCTTTGAGAGGCTGCATTTGGCTTCACTGAGTTTGTTTGTTTGTTTGTTTGTTTTGGAGATTCTTTCAGTGAATTTGCCCATTTCATGAAGAATGGTTGCCTACACCATGCTGTGTTCAGCAGCTTTTGACTAAGAACAGCAGGACCCCAATACCCTACCTACCCTATTCACCAATCTTTCCCCAAGCAACTTTTTTTTTTGTCTGTTTACGTGAATGAAAAACCTCAAAGGGAAATGTTTTGCCCATGTAGAAAAGGTGAAAGAAAAAACAGCAGAAGAACTAATATTTTGAGCAGTGGAAAAAGCGACTCAATAGGTGCATTTTATCAAACGGAAAGTACTTTGAAGGCGACTGCAGCTTAAACATGTAAAAATAAATACACACTGTTTTATAAATAAATTCTTGGATTTGGGGGTTCCCCTTGTATTTAATATTGTACTTCTTTGGTGATTATCTGATTATCTCATCACCTCTGATATGAATAGCTATTATCTTAATATAAGGTTCTGCTTTGAACCATATCTTAAAATAAATCCAAGTGAGAAGCACAGTGTATGTCATTTATTTAACCCCTTATAGTAAGTGTGGTAATTTATAATTTGGTAGAAATTGGTAGCTACAAGACTACCAAAAAAGTTCAAAATATATGGACTCAAATTTTTTTAACTTGATCAAACTATTTACTAGCAAAGCATCAAACTTTTAATCTTTTCTTACCATTGTGAACCATCTGATAATTATCTCGAAATACCTAATCTATTTACTTTCTCTCTTCTCTTACTTAATAAAAGAGAGGGAAAAAAAGTGTTTTCAAGGGAGGGAGTGAAGGAGAGGTTGGGAGTTAACAATTTCTATTTTCAGTAAATGAAAACTCTGGTGTTTGCTTTTATTTACTCCTGTCTTGTAATTATATTTTATTACAAGCAGGAACCAAGACAACCAAATATACTACTATACAGAAGGATACATTATGACTTTGGTTCTAGGCATTTTTGCCTTAATGTTCCACATTCATAAATAGAAGATGCTAAATTATATTTTGCAACTGTGTTTGTATAAATGATTTTGTCAGCTTAAATTATAAAGTTTAGGTAAAAGGAATAACTAATATTAGGGTTCTGCCTGTAGTTTTCCTTCTTAAACCTTAGCATTTTAGTTATCTCACCTTGTCATCCTTCATTTGTTGTCTGGTGACTGTTGGCCATTTTATTTATTTTATTTTATTTTATTTTTTTGAGTTGGAGTCTCACTCTGTCGCCCAGACTGGAGTGCAGTGGCCGCTCCCAGCCACCGCAGCCTCGACCTGGTAGGCTCCAGCAATCTTCCGCCTCAGCCTTCCATGTAGCCGGAATTACAGGCATGCGCTACCAAGCCCAGCTGATTTTTTGATTTAGAGATGAGAGATGAGGTCTTGCTGCCCAGGCGGGTCTTGAACCCACGGGCTCAGGCAATCCACTCACCTCAGCCTCCTGAAGGCACGGGATTACAGGCTGAGCCACCGAGCCTGGCTAGCCATTTTATTAATACAACTTATTTTTAGAGCAGTTATAGGTTAATAGCATAGTTGAGCAGGAAGTACAGAGAGTTCCCACATACCCTGTCCCTATGTATCTTAATATTTTTCTTTTCTTTCTTTCTTTTTTTTTTTGTATTCTTTGGGTAACAGTCCTTTGTTAGATGTATCTTTTGCAAATATTTTTCCTCAATCTGTGGTTTGTCTTCATTCTCTTGAAATTGTCTTTTACAGAGTAGAAATTTTTAATTTTAATGAGCTTATCAATTATTTATTTTACTTGTTATAGCTTTCATGTTTTATCTCAAAAGTCACCACCATACTCAAAGTCATCTAGGTTTTCTTTTATGTTTTATTCTAGGAGTCTTATAGTTCTGTGTTTTACATTTAGATTTAGGATCCATTTTGAATTAATATTTTGTGAAAGGTGTATGGTCTATCTAGATTCATGTTTTTCCATGTAGATGTTCAGTTTTTTCAGTACCATTTGTTGAAAAGAGTATCTTTGGTTTATTGTTCCACTTTTGCTTCCTTGTCTAAGGTCAGTTGACTGTATCTATGTGCATCTATTTCTGGGTTCTCTATTCTGTTCCATTGATCGGCCTTTTCTTTCACTGATACCATACTGTCTTGATTACTGTAGGTAGCTTCATACTAAGTCTTGATATCAGTTAGTGTCAATCTTCTGATCTTGTTCTTCTCCTTCAATATTGAATTGGCTCTTTTGGGTCTTTTTTCTTTCTATATAAATTTTAGAATCAGTTTATTAATATAACAGAATACCTTCCTGGTATTTTTAATGGGAGTGAGTTGAATGTATAGATCAACATGGGAAGAACTGACATCTTTACAATATTGAGTCTTCTTGTCAATGAACTCATCATTGGGATATCTCTCCATTTATGAAAGATATCTCCTCATTGATACCTTTCATCAGTTTTGTAGTTTCTTCAGAGGAGTTGTTAGTTTTCAATTAGATGTTTAACTTTATTCAAAAGTTCACTTTGTTCCTGTGACTATCAGACCGTTTGAAAAGAGGCCTATACTCTGCTGTAGAAAGTTTGGGTGACTGCTTCTAAATGGCTGTGCTTGATAGAAAGCTCTTGCTGTCTGACCTAGTTTTTTACAGCATTAGTCTTTTAAATTGTTACAGTCTTTTTCATATACCTTGGACATTTTTATTATTACAATCCTTAGCAAGACTCAGAGAAAAATTTTATATAATTCATATCATGAAAAATGGAGTAATCTCTTAGCCCTCTTATTTTAGCCCCACCCCCACTGTATTTTGCCAAGAGAAACAGTCAGAATTCACCACTGTTTCTGAAATATACAACTTTCAATAAGATTATTTTGATTATCATCTTAAAAGAGTGTATCTAATGTTAATATTCTCTTCATAATACAGCCTTTTAATGCTCTAAATTCTAGGATGAGTTTCATTTTCCATTTGTGTTTTAGAAGAAAATAGTTAAGTGAATGTCAAGAAATTTAAATCTTACTTTATATGTCAAATGATACCATAATTTTTTAAAACGAATTTAACTTTATTATTTACTCTACAAAATCAGTCACATTGAGATATACCCTATACTTATATTACTTAAATGATAGTTATATGGTTATTTAGATGAAAACTCTCCTTATCAAGATTATTAACTTTGCTCTTGTTTTTAATAGGCATTCTCTACTTAAAATGTTACCTTCTCTAAGAACTCTTAATGGTGATATGCTAAACTCTTATTCAGAAAGCCACAAAGAAGAACACTATCAACTAGAATCAGCATGTTTCCTGGTAATGTGTCAGTCCCAGATTCGCGAATTCAACTTACTAATTGACAATTACATCACTGGAAAAGGGTAAGATTGTTATCTTCCCCTTGTTGTACTTAAAATAAATAATGTAATTTATATGTATAATTTAATAGATATTCTGATTAACACAATTATGCTTTTTGGATTAGAACAGTGAGTTTTGGGAGTATCTTACCCTTAAAAGAAAAAAAAACCTTTGGGCATCATGTTTTTATTGTTTGAAATAGAAAATATTTATTTTGAACATAATTTAAAATATTAGATAATGTAAATGAAAGCATGAGGATAGCTTTAAGAGGCAAAAATTCATTTTATGTTGTAAGTTAATTGGCCATCAACTTATTCAACATTTGTTGTGTGCAAGACTGTTTATCCTCAAAGAATTCACAGATTAATGTAAGATGAAATTAGGCAAACCATTACAATGGAGTAGGATAAGTTTTACGATGCATATAATTCATATCATATATTAAGATATTATACATATATTTCCATATTAACATGGTATGGGGAGCACAGTGGAAAAAAGCAGTTAAGAGTGGCACATATTCAGAGAACAGCAACTGAGAATAATCATCATCAAATTTTGAAGAATGATAACTTCCTATTCCCCACCTCAAATTGTGAATGCATTGCAATAAATAAATTATAATTTATTTTTCTATAACTGTATTTTTAATTTTCATTGCTCAAAGAAAATACAAATAAAAAGCAAAGTGAGTCTCAACTACTTAGGTCTTAGAGTATTTAAATTTTCTCTGCAGTAGATTTTTTTTCCAGAGAAAGATGGGGAATAAAAACTTTCCCATAACATACGTTCTTTGTTTAAAAGTCCAATACAAATATTTTGTGTGGCAAGAGTCAATGTAGAAAGCACTTTTAACTTTATTTCATAAATAACTTCTCCAAATTTAGGCAGCCATGATTTCTCATGTTTATGGTAGTAAAAGCATGAATTTTTCTCATTCATTTGTACCAAAAATACCTAGAATAAAAATGGTCCTAAAACTTCCAGACATTTTGTCTGGATTGATGGATCTAAATTAAACAAATATTTTTAAACCTTGTGAGAAATGAGATCAATTTTAATATAACCAACTAGAAATAATTTATAATGAGAGTTGTAAAGATTAATATTAATTTGAGGCCATGCAGCAAAATTTTCAAAACCTGTACTAGTTTTAGTATTTTCTGATATAATTCTTATTAAATGTCTTTATTTATCTGTTCAGAGATGTATTCTCCTTGGATGCTGCAGAAAATCTCTGTCATTATTTTAAGAAATTGATGATACTTAGTAATGAATATCGACATGCGCATGAATGTGGGAAAGTAAATATCAACAAGAAAGATAAATCAGAAGCCCAGCAGAATTATTTGGTCCCTACAAACCATGACAGCACACAGCAAAAAAGAGTCTTCTACTCCAGTGCAGATGACCATAACCCGGACTCACTGGATGCTTCTGAGAAATGGTTGGACCCTGGCTCTAACTCCTTCCCATTAAGCAACTCCTCTACATGTAAAGATATAGAAGGAAGAAATCAGGAAAAATTAGTAAGCCATAACAGAGAAGATAGCAAGGCAAGCAGTATTACCACCAAAGGAATCCCTTTGAAGGAAACAGAAATTGCAAATTCTCTGCTGAGGAAACACCAAAATATTGAGCATAGTAAAAAAATGTAAGATTTATATATCATTTTTCTTTTACAGATATATGGTTACTATTTTTCATGGATGATCTTAGTCAATGGTACCAAATAATAATTTGATAAAGGACTTAAATCTTCATTATATCTCATATTAATTCCTTTAACTGTGTTTTCATTATGTACACAAATGATTTATTATAGTGCAGATTAATTTGATAAAATTTTGGCAGATTCTGGTTTAATTTCTATTATTATTAAATTTAAAATGAGTACATTTGAATTTTTCTGGCTTTTAATTTCTAAATAATTTAAATAATTTTAAAAATAGAAATAAAATACAGCATTCTAAAAATAAAGAGAATATTGTCTGAATAATCAGGTAATTTTAGTTTTCAAATATAAGTTTGCATATGCTATTTATTTGCTCATTGGTTTAATAAACATTTAAGGTGCATCTATGCTTCAAGCTTTTGAAGGTGTATTATTTTCCTTGGCATTAACAGGTCGATACAGGAGGGAATATTTTCTATGATTAATCAAATAAATCCCCTTAAAACTAGTAAACACTTTTAGAAAGCTAAGGTTAACTGTGCTTGTTGAGCCAGAAAGGATTAGTTTTTCTTTGGCCTGTCGACTTCTTTTTTTTTTTGAGTTGGAGTCTCTGTCGCCCAGACTGGAGTGTAGTGGCACGCTCCCGGCGGGCTACCACAGCCTCAACCAGCTGGTCTCAGGCGATCTTTCCGCCTCAGCCTTCCAAGTAGCTGGAACTACAGGCGTGTGCTACCATACCCAGCTAGTTTTTGATTTATTGTAGAGACAAGGTCTTGCCAATTTCCCCGGGCGGATCTCGAACCTGCGGGCTCAGGCAATCCACTCGCCTCGGCCTCCCAAAGTGCTGGGATTACAGGCTGAGCCACCGATCCCGGCCTGGGCTGTCGGCTTCTTATCCTTTTTACTTTGGCTTCATGACAAGTCAGCAAAAGAAAAATTGGTCAAATTCAACTGCTCCTGCAATGACTGGTGCTGGACAGGGCAAAAGTCAGAACATCACAGTAGTTAATCTTATTTTTCTCAGTTTTCTTTTCTTCAGCAGTTGTCATATAAACAGGAGTTTCTTCTCTGGGAACCATAATTTTTTCTGCTGAAACTAACATGTATTTCCTAAAGTATTTTTAAAACTGCTATTGAAAATACTTTTAATATTTTCTGATGCCTGTTTTACTAATTTATTTAATTGATTGCCTTTGCTCCAAACACTAAATATTTCCTATTGAAATTGTATAAAAACACGTAGAACTTCTTAATCAATGGCAAATAAAATAACAAAATGATTATAATCATAAGGATGAAGAAATGAAAATATAGATAAACTAAAAACTTGAAGAATAAAGAAGAAATAAGACATATACCCACTTACTGAATCTTGCTCCACTTCAGTGATTCAGGAGATACACTGTCAGTTGCATGAGAGTTTCCTAAGAATGATTTACATGTGCTCTTGTGTTAAAGACATTTTTGACATTATTTTTGCTAAAAGGGATGATGATGATGATGGTGATGATGATGATGGTGATGGTGACGATGATGATACAATCGTTTTACTTAACATGAAGATCACCCTACACTTGGGAAATTCTAAGATCAGATGCTTTATGTGATTTTAATGTAGTGAAAAGCAGTTCATATGTTAGTCTCACTGAAGAAAACATCCCTCAAATACTTTTTTTTCATTTTTTTCATTTTTCCCTTGGGGATTTTTTATGATATTAGGCTGAGAAATTTATGCAATTAATGACTTCAGAAGAAATACACAGATACAGTCAGTGAAACTTGCATGTATCTATAGAAAAATATAAGATGTTGTCTCGGGTTAAATGTATTTTCTCATGTCTTTCTCTCTTCACTAGTTATACATTGCAAGTGTGTTTTCTGATTCTCTATCACCCAAAATACCTATAAAAATGTTTTGAAATCCCTTAATGTATTTTTGTCCAAAAGATGAAGGTATGAATAGATGATTGCATGACCAAATGTGATTTCAAACTATAGCAAAATTTATGAAGTTCTGTTTACCCTAGGAGGATTAAATGACTTCTTGGAACATGTATTTTTTTTTACAAGTATTAGAAGTACAAATAGTTTATCTTAGACCAGATGTTTTAGCCATTAGCTTCAATTTTCTATTCATAGCAAAATAGATTGAAGTCTTCTACTGGCTTTAGGTAAAATGATGATAATGATGATGATATTAATAACAACAATAAAACAAAACAGCAGTAGCAGATGGTTGCATTATTCCTTTCTAATTTCCCACAAATGTATTATTATGAGAAAAGAATGTATGATCTAGTAGAGTTTATCACTTAATTCCATTTTGCCTTAAACTCAATACTGTGCAAAAGGAGGAAATTTCGTTGGATTTGGCAATTATAAAGTTATTGCAACTTGTTTCAAGGGAGCATTGAGGAATGGAGATGGACCAAGACTCCTTCTCTTCCACATACCTTTTAAGCCAAATTTAGGATTTAGAAATGAGATTAAGACAGGAGAATTAACCCATTTATTATGTTCTGTACCTTGGTAATATTCATGCAATAATCTATGCAGGGAAAGAAAAACATTTCCAATTAGGAAGTGCTAAATGGTTAAGTACACTAAGAACCCACTTATCAGTGTACATTTTAATTTAAATTTTGCTAAAATTGTGGGTAACTTAGAGAGATATGGAAAACACACAACACTGATTGATTTTGTACCTGAAATTAGCAACTAGTTTTGAGCTGGAAAAATGTTAGCATTTATACTGGGTTTGTAAGAATTTGATTTAAGTATTTGTCTGTGAGCAGAGAAAAAAGTGAAACTGGTAATCACTTGGTAGGGTCTTTCCTCTTACACTAGAGGAGGCCTTCTTCCTCCTCCTCCCCAAGGCTAATATTTTTACAATGAATAGGATTTTATTTTCTTTTGCCACATCGGCGTTGTCTCCTACATTTGTCCCTTATCTTCTGCCTCTTTACTTTTTCCACTCATCTCTGGATAAATATCCTTAGTATCATACAAAAATTTGTATAGTGTCTTCCTCCTTAAAAGAAAGAAACACAACTCTCTGTACTTACATCACCAACTACTGGTCCATTTTTCTGCTTCAGATCTGAAGGTTTCCATACTATTTCTTAAAATTTCTATGACTATAGTTAAACACAAAAAATTGCCTTTATTTTTGAATATTTTTATTTGCTTAATTTTTAAAATATAACTTATCAACCAGGCATGGTGGCTCTTGCCTGTAATCCTAACACTTTGGGAGACCAAGGCTGAAGGAAGACTTGAGGCCAGGAGTTTGAGATTAGCCTGGGCAACATAGTGAAACTACATCTCTGCAATTTTTAAAAAAATTAGTCTTGTGTGATGACACACAGCAGTAGTTTCAGCTACTTGAGATGTTGAATCAGGAGGATCACTTGAGCCCAAGAGTTTGAGGCTACTGTGAACCACGATTGCAATATGGCACTCTATCCTGTGTGACAGAGCAAGACACTGTCTCTAAAGGAATATATATATAATATAAACATATATATTAGTATACATACATGTGAAGGCATATACATATAGCTTATAAAGACCTCTTATCTACAGCTATGTATTTACAGATAATACAAATGTTTTCTTTTTACCTCTTAATAGTATGGCAGCTGTGGTAATTCAGTCACACTGGCGTGGTTACGTCGTGCACAGACAGATTCATTTGTCCACAAGGCTACACACTGCTGCAACAGAAACTCTGCCAAATTCCTGCATCAAGAATAAGGCTATCTTCAAGAAAGAAAAAAGAGAAAATATTGTGAATATCCAAGAACAGAGGGAGAAGGCTGCTACTCTTATTCAGGTTCATTTCAAACTTTTGGTAACATAGTCACAAAAAAAATGTACTAGTCATCTTTCATGGGTTATTCTGTATGAAAACAACCCTCAAATCTTAGTGATTTACTGTTACATGGATTTATTTCTTACTCACATGACATATTGGCTGCAGGTTAGCTGAAGTTTGACTGTGGCTCTGCTTAGTAACTAAATGGAATAATCTTTAAATCAGAAATACTGTTTTCATGACTGAGGGTCAAGCTGAACCACACAACTATATTTAAAACTTCTAATCAAATGTGTAATTTGCCATATATGCTAACATTTGATCAGTTAAAACAAGTCTTACTGGGTCTAATTGATACCTGTTTCTAGAAACATCTTGAAGAATCGACCAAAATAATTGGTAAAGTTCTTCAAATGCTGCTTATTTATTTATTTATTTATTGAATTTTGTTTTGTTATAGAGATGTTGGGTACAAGTGAGGATTAACTAGATATGTAGGCTTCATGCAGGTAAAGTTTGGACTTCTAACTGGTCCTGACGACCCCTCACATTTTGTGGTGTTACATGCTTGCCCACCACCCTCCTTTCTTCCTTTCCTTAACAGTGCCCAGTAGCTGCCAGTCCCTCTCTTGTTCTAATGTGAGTAGTATTCAGGGCCCACTTAAGAGTCAGTTCTTTGTTTCTGTGATAATTCACTTAGTATAGTGGTCTCCAGCTCCATCCAATTTGCTGCAAAGTCCATGATTTTGTTCTTTGTAGCGTGTAATATGTATATGTACATTTTGTTTATCCAGATATGTGTACATTTTGTTTATCCAGTCCACTTTTCAATGGGCAGAATGGTTGGTTCTATGTTTTTGCTATTGTGACTGGTGCTGCAATAAACATGAGTGTGCCAGTGTCTTTTTTGTAGAATGATTTATGTTCTTCTGGGTATATTCCCAGGGGAGGGATTGCTGGTACATATGGAAGGTCAATATTTAGTTCTTTTAGGAATTGCCACACTGCTTTCCATAGAGGTTTAATGAACTTACACTCCCACTAACTCAGAGAAGCTTTCCCTTTTGTCTGCAGCCATGCCAGCACCTTTTGATTTTTGACTTATTAATGATAGTCATCCTTACTGGAGTTAGTAGTATCTTATTGTAGTTTTGATTAGCATTTCTCTGATGATTTGTGAAGCTGAGCATTCCTTCATATGCGTGTTGGCTGCTTGTATGTCATCTTTTGGGAAGTGCTTGCTCATGTCCTTTGCCCATTTTTCACGGGATGTTTGTTTTCTTTCACTTAGTTTGCGTGCCTTGTAGATCCTGGATGTTAGGCCTTTGTCAGATGCATAAAAGCCATATATGATAAACCAACAGCCAACACATTGCTCAATGGACAGAAGCTGGATGCATTCTCCCTAAGAACTTGATTAAGACAAGGACTTCCACTCTCACCCCTCCTGTTTAACATAATGCTGGAAGTTCTAACCAGAGCAATCAGGTGTATCCAAATAGGAAAAGAGGAAGTTAAGCTATCACTCTTTGCAGATGATATGATTCTATACCTTGAAAACCCTAGGGAGTCTGTCAAAAGCCTCCTTGCACTGATAAATGACTTTGGTAATGTCTCAGGTGACAAAATAATGTGCAAAAGACAGTATCATTTCTATGTACCAGAAACAAGCAGGTTGGTTTGTAGAAATAAAAAACAAATACAAATAAGGAACCAAATAAAAAGGGCAATCCCATTTATAAGAGCCACACAAAAAATGAAATACCTTGGCATCCACCTAACCGGAGAGGTGGAAGACCCTTACAACAAGAACTGTAAAATGCTGCTCAAAGAAATCAATGATGATACAAACAAATGGAAAAACATGCCATGTTTATGAATCGGAAGAATCGATATTGTCAAGATGTCCATTCTACTGAAGGCAATCTACAGATTTAGTGAAATACCCATCACAGTAACCAAGACAGCCTGGTATTGGTACAGAAATAGGCACATAGATCAGTGAAACAAGACAGAGATTCTAGAAGCAAAAACATGGACACTCAACCAGCTCATCTTTGACAAAGTCACCAATAACAATCACTGGGGAAAGGAGACCATATTTATCAACTGGTGCTGGGAAAACTGACTGACCACATGCAGAAGAATGAAACTAGTCCCCTACCTATCACCATATACAAAAATCAAATCAAAATGGATCAAACCCCAAAACACAAAACCTCAAACTATAAGAATCTTAGTAGAAAACATAGGAAAACACTCTTATGAACATCAGAATAAGCAAGGAATTCTTGATCAAGTCCCCAAAAGTGCATGACATAAAAGCTAAGATAGACAAGTGGAACCTTGTCAAACTGAAAAGCTTTTGCACAGAAAAATAAGCCATTAAGAGAGTAAAGAGGCAACCCATAGAATGGGAAAAAACACAATTTTATTTAAAAATGTAGAAAGCAAGTCGTTAATAGACTTAATTGCACCAAGACCAGCTATTGAAGTAAAGTTCAACTTTGCCACATTCACCTTTTTATTTGCTTATCATATTTTAAAATAATTTTTTCTGAACATTTTTTTTCTTTTAGTAGAGGTGTGTTCTCATTATGTTGCCCAGCTGGCCTCAGTCTCCAAAAGTGCTGGGATTAGAGGCATAAGCAAATCCGTTTTTTTTTTTTAAGAACCTATGCTTTGCCAGGCCTCCTTCTAGCCTCAGGAAATACAACTTCAAACAAAACAGACATGATTCCTGCCCTCATGGAATTTACATCCAGGTGGAGGAGGCAAGCACAAAGTAAATAAAATAAATAACATAAAGTCTGTAGAAATTCATGGTATTGTAAGTTAAATGATAGTAACTAAACAAAACTTCCATTCAGCAGATATATTTTTGGCACAAAAATCTTCTTAGCTTATATTCTGTTGGAATGTGCAGTTAATAACTATGTTAGATACGACAAGAACTAAGGGGGATATATAAAACAGGAAAAGTGGATGGGGATATCAAAGGGAAGTTTGGCATTTTAGATAGGAAGGATATGGAAGACCACTGGATATCTAGAGGAAGAATATTTCAGGCAAAGAAATGTCAGATTCAAAGGCCCTTCTTTAGTAGCATACCACAAAGTTGAAGGAACAGCAAGAAGCCGGTGTGGCTGGAGGGTGTTGAAGGAGGAAGAGTAGGACTTGTAAGGTACAAGTCATTGTAAAGACTGGCTTTTCCTGCTGTTAATATGGGGTGGCTTTGGAGGAATTTGACTGTGGACTGACATGGTCAAGTTTACTTTATGCTACGGTTATGCTATAGGAAAGCAGGGGTAGAAGCAGCCCGAACAGTCAGCAGACCTTTGTGGTAATGGGGACAAGGTATTGGCAATGGAGGTGATAAGAATTTCATGTTCTAGAACATACATTGATTTATTTTGAGAGTATGTATATACACTTTGGAGGCAGAGTCGATAATATAATATAATGGGATGTGATTCATGAGACATAGGGAGGAGTCAGGAATATCTCCAGGGTATTTAGCACAAGCAACTGGAAGAAAAGTATTAAAATTAAGAAAAAAATGGGTCGCCTTTTCTCTCAAGTACCTTGCTCTTACTACTAAAGACATAGCTTTCAAGAGAATAAGCTCTGCTATGTTTCTAATGAATATATCCAGTATATCAGTCTACTTCATTTGCATTATACCTCTCCTGAGAACAGTGCATAGAGGGAACTGCTCCCACTGCCTGGTACTGGTGGAAGTGAGGAGAGGGCAACCGATTCTGAGGAAAATGCTGAAAAAAATGAAAGAAATTTCAGTCACACTCTCAATATGTTATTCTGCTGCCTGAGGAATGCAGATGCCATGCATTCCAGACTCGTTTCTGTCATCATTGGATGAGCAATATTTTTACTTTTCAGCACTCATAGTAAATGACTATTCAACTTTTGCTTCATTCCTATCCATAAAGAGAAGTTCATTACCATTAGAATCTTTCTAATTCTGACTGGTATCTCTGTTGGAATTTCTTTGGTTGGGCTTCTTTACATATGTAACAAAAGGAAGCATAGTTCAACCTTCCTTTGTAATTTAGGACAAGTATCTTTTGTTGTACATCATGGTACTTAGAATAATTGAAACAAACTCCATTTTCTCTTCTGCTGGGAACTATCACCTGGTTGCTTAAATGACTTATCTTGAGATATGGATTCTAGATGGTCCAAATATTCTGGGAGCAGAGGATGATATAGAAGAAAGAGCCTGGGCTTTAGCAGGATCTGAATAAACATTTCATAAAGGATTGCTGGAGACTGCTGTCTGCTTACCAAAACCCATGTTCTTTTATTCCTGGCATACAGCTAGACTAGAGTTCTCAGCTTTCTTTGTAGTTTATTGTGGCTCTTTTTCTGATTTCTCATGAATAGAATGTGAGTAGAATATATATGCACCACTTTTATGTCCACCACATAGAACCTACCTACCTTCCCAGCTTCTGGGACATCCTTGGTGAGATTGAAACGTCTTCAAAGCCCGGCTACCTGAATCCCTTCAGTGAACATGCTGTCCCACTAACTTGTTTAGTCTCTCAGTGTTTACTAGGTGATCAAGAAATAAGCTCTTGTTTTTGAGTTATGCATTTTTTGACTTGTTACAACACTTAAAGGATGCTAGCTGAGCCTGGTGGCTCATACTTGCAGTCCCAGCACTTTGGGAGGTTGTGGTAAGAGGTTTACTTGAGCCCAGGAGTTCAAAACCAGCCTGGGCAACATAGCAAGGTCTCTTCTCTATAAACAATTTTATAAATTGGCTGAGCATGGTGGCTTTGCCTATTGTCTCAACTACTTGGGAGGCTGGGTGAGAGGATTGCTTGGTTCCAGGAGTTTGAGGTTGCCATGAGATCATAGTGCTATTGCACTACCACCTGGGTGACAGAGCAAGATCTTGTTTCAAAAGAAAAAAAAAATTAAAGGAAGGACATAAATTACACATTCAGAAATAGTAGGACTCAATGTAAACATGTACGAGAATGGAATTCTAG